TCAAAGAGCCATTGCAATGCTCTTTCAGGATTAGGAGAATGAGACCCATCATTGTTACTGGTATTTGGCATATTGTGTACAACACAGGAAGTTTGTCAGACTCTGCAGTGCGGGCAGGATACTTTTGGTAGCCTGCCAGGTTCTCCAAAGGAAAAATAAGATAGTTAGATGTCGCATGGCCGCATGGGAGCTGGGTTTTATAGTCTCTGCATCTTGGCCGTTGATGGGACCAACCTGGCACTGGCGGCAGCTGGTGGCTGTGAAGCCTGCCTTCTGGAAGATGGGGGTCTGGATGGAGAAGGCCCAGTCCCAATCCTAGTAGGCTTGGAGACCTCAGTCCCGGGACCCGCATGCCTGGGTTCCTCTGCCAGTTCTTTCATGCATGAGGCCCGTCCGGACGTGTGGAGAGTGGTCCCAGCATTTATATATATACCTATTAAAAATAAATTTCCCTCTAAGATTGGTTGCCTCCTACTTTGAACCCCATCAAATGTGGGTGTGTTACTCTTGGAGCATGGGTAGTGTGTATCCTATTAAGTGTCCAGGCTGAGGCTCGGCCCACGTGTGTGGGGAGCGACTGTGAGCAGGGTGATGATTGAGTGCTGGAGGTTTTTGGCTGTCGGGGCTGGGTCCCTTGGGGCGGGGAGGGCTCCCACCCACCCCTCTCTGGGGCACCCCAAATGAAACAGCCTGGCGTGGGGTCTAACCACGCAGCAGCGTGGTTATGGTGAGTGCCATGTTTTGCCCCCCAAACTCAATATGGTGAGTGCCATGTTATGCCCCCCCAAACTCAATATTTGTTAAACAGGCAAAGAAACCGAACAACGCCAGAAATGCTCCTAGCCCATTCTGGCATTCAGTGGACGCATTCGGCGTCCCTGGCCTGGTGAACACCAGTTAGGACAATAGCTCCCGCCTCGCCTTCCTTTCCTCTAGTGTGCACTGCCTTTCGGCTGGCCATGGGGTTGGGCACTGCTGCCCTCGCCCTGGTCTCCTGTCAGCGTGGAGGCCAGAGGCAGACGCATTCCTCTGTTGCTCGGGCAGCCGAGTGAGGCTCAGGGAGCACCAGTGTCCCAGCTGAGCCTCACCCGCTTGGTACAGGGGTGGGGGTGCAGGTGTGAGTGGGATCTGGGGCATGAACGCCTACAGTGGGCGCGCGTGGATCACAGCCTGCCAGTTCGGGAGAGCAGAGTGTCACTTCCAGGGTCTGAGTGTTGTCTCATCTTATTTTGCAAGAACATCCGGTTAGCCCTGCTGCGGGTCGGCATTGTGTCTCCTCCACCCTCGGCAGAAGCGAGAGGTAAGAGGAGAGGCTGGGCTCACACAGGCCCCGGGGGGAGAACAGTGTCTTCTGGGCTGCTTTCTGTGCAATAAACACCCGGAACCAGGAGCATCCTCCCTCTGTGGTAAGTGAAAACACAGGCCTCAGCCAAGCGTGCTAGCGTCAGAAGGAGGCTCCGAGCGAAAACACCGAATGCTGGTTTTGAAAGCGCTGTCCTCGCTGTGCAAAGGGTCTCTCTGTTCAGAGTTGACCAGGACAGTTACGGGATAATGACTTTCATCATGACCGAAATTAAAACGAGAACTCGCTGGGTAGTGACAGATTATACCATTACCGAGCAACTAAACCACTTGCACAAACCGTTCCTGTAAGGACCTTCCCACAGAGCCAGGCAGGGCAGCTGGCAGCCTCTCGGCCGAGTTGCCCACAATCTTGTACCCAGATGGTAAGGTAACTGCCATGCTCTGAAGTCAGGACAGAGAAAATGGAAGCGGTTTTGGGCAGGCGAGGGGGAAAACTTCTATCTTCATAAAACGTATTAAGAAGCAGATGTTCTCTAGAGATCTTCTTGAAACCCCCATTAGAGGCCCGGCTGCCTCTCCCAACAGCCCGCCCGATAATAAGTTCATCAACTGACGTCTAAGGCAGGAAATGGACAGCGGCACGCCCAGGAACGAAGTGAGGATGAGCTGGCAAATTAAATTCGATATCCATTAGCCAATGGGATTGCTTTCCTTCTGGGAAAAGGTTTCAGTGGCTGATTTTTGCCTCTGTGGCACTGCTGAAGTGTCTGTCCCCAGCAAGGTAGCCATTACTCCACTCCCGACCTTCAGTGGCCTCTTCTTAAATCAATGCACATTTTTACATGTGATCAAACGGTTGTATTTCGTTTGCTTTTTGGGTCACACCCGGTGATGCACAAGGGTTACTCCTGGCTCTGCACTCAGGAATCACTCCTGGCGGTGCTCGGGGGACCATATGGGATGCTGGGAATCAAACCCAGGTCAGCCTCGTGCAAGCAAATGCCCTACCCGCTGTGCTATTGCTCCAGACCTCAAACGGTTGTATTTTATAGAACCTGAACCCAGAAAAACTGAATACACCTTTGGACAGACGGCCAAACCGTACATTAAAATAGAACTTGCAGCATAAACAAACTGCACAAGAAGCCGATCCTTTCTTCAGACACACCTCAGAACACGGCTCTGAGAGGCAGCAGGCTAGTTCTCGTGACCAGCAAGGAGACGTCATTTCTGTGACAACTGGTCCAAAGAGTCAGTCCTGATCAGTAACGGCCAATTCCCCTAATTCTTCTAGGCCGAGACCTCCAAGCCTACTCGGATTGGAGTCGAGCATCTTCCACCCAGATCCTCCAAATTCCAGTAGGCGGGGGTCACACCCACCACCTGGCCCCCTGGCGCCGTGTAATCCCATCAGCGGCCAAGACTCAGAGACTATAAAATCCAGATACCGGAACCGCGCGGCCGCATTCACAGCCGCGGGACATCTTATCAGAATATTTTTTTATGACATCTTATTATCTCATTCCTACTTTGGATAAACTTGCAGGCTATCGAATGTAGCCTGCCCACAGGGCAGAGTCTGGCAAACTCCCCGTGGCGTTCCAAATATGCCAAATACCAGTAACAATGATGGGTCTCATTCTCCTAAAGAGCCTTGAATATAATCTCAGGGCTAGGATGAAAGAGACGTTACTGGGGCCTGCTCGAGGCAATCGACTTCTAGGCCACACCCAGGGCTACCCGGGATTCCGGGGATGGGATCCCTGGATGATTGGGAAAGCCCAGCACATTTGGGCTTCATGACTCAGCAAACTTGGACACAGGTCAGAACGCACAGCTTCCAGCCTCCCAGATGCCTGACATCACGGGCCAAGGCTGGAGGTCGGGTGGGCATCAGTCAGAGTCGGAAAGGTGGCGGGAAGGACTGATCGGGGCACTGGGGACATAGCCAAGGTCGAACACGAGCCTGGCACGTCCTCTGCTTCCAGCAGTGCCAGCTGCAGGACTGTTAGCACCCGCGCACATCTAGTCGGAAATGAAGCAATCTTTCCACCAGCCTCGATTTCTGTGCCAGCTTGTGGCTGCTCCTGAATGGTTACTGTGGCTCAGTGGACGCCACTGCCCATGGCTGAGCGTAGGGCCCGGGGACCAGGGCTCGGGGTGTGTCGAGGGTCACACAGGGATGGGCGCCAAGGAGAAACTGATCACAGCTCCCAGCCCTTCCTTTCTCCCTCCGGGCACCCACGGGCAGAGCCCAGAACACCTAACAAAGGAGAAGTGGGTTATTTTGGTTGTTTCGCAGCTGTTCCCGCTGAGTGGGTGGGTGAACTGCCATCTGAGAAATGAAAGGTCAACCTCCGGTGCAGTGTCCCGGGCTGTCAGCACCCGCACATCTACTCGGAAGCGAAGCAAACTTCCCACCAGACTCGATTTCTATGCTTCACACACCGCAAACTTCCTCTGAACAAGATGTTCTCACTCCTCCGAAAGTGGACACCAAGCCCCCGCAGACACATCTCGGTGACACACTGCTCACGGCATTTTCTCTTGAGAGCCAACCCTCCCCAACATCTACTCTTGAGTGGAGTACTAATCCAGCTGCCGAGGAAGAACATATGTGACACTACTATTTCTGTATCAGGCACAAGATGTACTAAGTAACCATCACCCTTCCCCAAGCAACCCATGCCTCCTCTTCCCCTGACCAGCAGCTCAACTGTTCAGGGTTCACACAGGTGACCCAACCCTCAATGCCTAATGCGTGAAAACTCATTCCTGCTTCTGGAGGTGGTTGCTCTCTCCTCGCTGAAACTGGCAATTGGACATGATATGTGAAAGATTCCACAGAAGATGCCCGGAGGGACGCCTAGGCTCAGGCAGCGAGGGAAGGACCCACACAAAGGGCCAAAGATCGCTGGCGTCGGCCCAGAGAGCCTTGGGAGATGCCCCGTGGAAAGCAACCAGTTGGTGTGTGTGGGACCGGAGCCATCGCTGCCCCGCCACTCCTCCCTTGGGAGGCCGGGCCCCCACTTGCATCCAAGGGCACAGAGTGGGCGAGTGGGCCCATGGCAGGAGCTGCCTCTCCACCACATGTCCTGGAGAGCGGTCATTGACTCTTGTGGGAGGATGCAGGCCAGCCACCGCTCCTGGGGGACCGAAGTTGGAGCAACGAGCCGAGGCGGAAGCTGCAGTCCCAGAGGGAACCCAGCCTCCCACCCAGTCAAGGCCCCTCTGGGAGCACTGGCAGACCTCGGCCCCCGCGACTTCACACTCACTGCCTCCTGGCTGCCTCCAGGAGATGCACAGCTCACTGAGAGGCTAAAACCATAAACGGCCAGGGTTTCTGAGAAGCCCTGGGGACATATCCCAACTCTCTCCAGGACTTTTGTCAGCTGTGAATAAGGTTCGCAGTTAGAGACGTCTGGGCGGCGGTAACTTCTAAAGTGCAAGACTGGAAGAGGTCAATGATTATTTTTTAATCCCTCTCCAGGAATTTTTCACAGTTCACTTTGATACATATTAATGTGTTCTAAATCAAGGACTGATGTTTTAAATAGTATTTAAAATTCCAATACGGAAAGAGGAAATTCTAAAATGGAACTGGGGCAAAGTTATTATTCCTAAGCATAAGCAAACAGAGAAAGTTTATGAAAAAATATTTTTATTATATAACTTTTTGTTTTCATGAACGGCTTTCCCCCAAGCCCCGGTGGCGGGGAGCAAACAGACCCTGTATGGTGCTGAGGCAGCTTTCTGCGGCCAAGCCTCCGGCAGAACTCCCAGGGCTGGTTCCAGAAGGCAGACGTCAACCGACTTCGCATAATCAATAAGGTGAAAATCAAAGACAGGGGTAACTTAAAACACTGGTCTGATGGCTCAACCCAAGGTCAGTGACAGGAGTGTGTGTGAACAAAAAGAAATCCGAAGCCGGAATTCTTTAGGAAGCGACCACGTGCTTAAGAACATGGAAAGACCCAGGAAAGTTCTTTCTCTGTGCAAACTCTTACACAAAGGATGTACGACATCCATCACACATCTGTTTCAAAAACAGCATGTTTCCGATATCCCATGCTTCTTTACAGATCAACATAATGTTAATGACGGAATGAGAAACCATCAGAAAAAGTTCTCCAAAATGGCAGCTAATTCTCACACGGCATCCCTGAGCTGGACTGCAAGGCACCCCATTTCAATCTTGAGGTTTTAAGAAGACTTTCTTGGTTTTAATTGGTTTTGGATCTCCATTTTCGTCTTCTTCATAATTGGCCCGGTCTCTCTTCTTGGCAAATTTCTTCCCAATTGTTCCCACCAAGGTCTCGTACCTGTTAAAATGACGCATAACACAATTCAGTTTTAAATGAAACAGGTAGGAACCAAGGTCTGTCAGGAATATAAATGCACGGTTTGGAGAGGGGGCACAGCAGGGACGGGGCTTGCCGTGCACGCAGCTGACCAAGCCTGCCAGGAGTGATCCTTTTTTTATTTTTATTTTTAAATTTTTAATAGTGAGACATCATGAGGTATACAGTCGCAGACTTACACATTTTTGTGCTTGGGTTTCAATTATATAATGATCAAATACACATCCCTCCACCAGTGCCCATTTCCCACCACCACGGATCCCAGTATCCCTCCCACCCCCCATGCCTCCCATCCCACTCTGCCTCTGTGGGAGGGCATTCCCTTTTGTTCTCTCTCTCTCTTATTGGGTGTTGTGTTTTGCAAGAGAGGCATTGGGTGGCAATCATGTTTGGTCTACAGTCTACTTTCAGCATGCTTCTCCCATCCTGGGAGGATCCTCCCAACACCCTTTATTTGGTGCTCCCTTCTCTCTGAGCTCCCTTTTCCCCTAGCATGTGTGGTTGGCCTCTAAGCCATGAAGTAAAATTCCAGGAGTGATTCCTGAGCGCAGAGCCAGGCTTTTACCCTGAGCACCACCAGGTGTGTCCCCGCCCCCAGGAAAAACACCTCCCTCCGCAAACAGAGTATCAAACCAAGTAACACAGAATAAGCAGAATCAAATAGGGAAATCATCTGCTTGAAAAAAAATATGAACTTTCTAAGAGTGATTAAATGTGCTACTGGTTGTTTTCATATCACCCTGAATAACTGAGATACATTTAAAAATACACACAGGACGCTGACCCCTCAGGCTCCAGCTGGGACAGGCCAGTCTGAGGACATGCTTCCGGGTGGATGGTGGGCAGGGGCAGGGGCCAGTGATGCGGAGACCACAGAACTGGGGCAAGGGGAAAGTTTACCTTCTAGCCATTTCCTCATCGGACACATCGAGTTCCACCGTCTCATCTTCAACTTCTTCTTCTTTGTTCTTAGAGTTCATCTGACGCATTAATTTCTGGAAAACACCAGGGCTGACTAACAGGGATTTGATGATTCGATGGCAGAGAAGAAGTCACACAAGCCACGGATCCTGACACATTCCTCGGAGCTGATCTGTGACACTTTATTCCACAGGCGTGAACACAAGCCACGGGCCGTGAGATTAGACCAGAGGTCTTGAAACCTACCTGGCCCCTACCCCCTTTTCAGCGAACACAAAAGTGCCCTCAGCTGCACCTAAGTCTACTTACTCCGCGCCCCTGGCCAGAACTGGATGGACCATGTAACACTGATGAACTTAGTCCTGTTTGAGATCACGCATCTACATGCTAACGTCCTCTACAGGCACTAGGGAAGGAGCAAAGCAGTTTTCAGATTTCTTCCAAGTCTCCCGCTATGGAGTCAAACGGAAGAAACTGGGTTCGGAATAATCACATCACCTTTTCCAGTTTTGGGGGACAGGACCAGCTTGGTGCCCCATGCCACAGGAGGGCCTGCCTTCACCCCCTCTCTCCTGCATCTCTTTTCCATGCTGACTTTTCTGGAGCCATCAGGCCTGGAAACCCCCAAGCTACACACGGTGATGCCTGGAAGGCGACGAGGTGTCGGGCATGAACCCTGCGGCACTCCCTAGCCCCTCTACCCGGAATCGTCCTTTGAGCCCGTGGCCAGCAACTTCCCCAGCCTCGCAGGACTGAGCAGAATTGTGTGTGAAGACGCAGGTTCTGTCATGCCGCCATCGCAGGGACGTGCAGGGCTGAAGTGTATTGGCACAGAGTAAATATTGACCCAGGAAACCAACCCCGTCTCGGTGTCCCCAGAAAGAACGCTGAAACTGTGTCGTCAGGACCTTGTGCTCGCTCTGATCTGCTCAGGACCAAGCAGAGAAAACCGTCCTCCACTTTCACACCTGTCAGGCCCAGAAGCCTCAGCAACGGCAGAAAACTCTTTCCCCCGAGAGAAACTGTAGTTCTGGTGCCAGGGATTAAAACCCACTTCTAAGACTCTCCCATCAAATCCCGATGGCCCTCTCTTCTCTCCCACCGGGTACTGGACGTATGTTGGGGTGCTTGCCTCCCGTGGCTCAGTACCTGGGGACCACATACACACACACCCTCTTTGCTTCTGTCCCCACCTGCCTCAGCCCCCGTCACCCCCGTCCTTTGCCCCCAGTCAAAGCCTGAAGTGAGGCAAGTGTTCAAGCGAGCACCTGTTGGAGCAGGAGAGCCTGCAGGGGAGGGCGAGGGCCTCGTCTGTGTCTGGCTGGCCCCAAACCAGCACAGCAGCAGCCCCCCCCCCCCCCCCGGCCCTCACTGAGCTACTGGCAACCTGCAAGGGGTCCCAGGCCATCTGCAGCACTGCCTGGGATACCCCCAAAACTCCACCGCCACTTGTTACACGGATGAGCTGCAAAGTGCAAATGACTCCTTGCTCATAATAGCCGCTCAAGAAAGGGGAAAGAGAGAAAGCCAACCCATAGTCCCTGAACGAATCCTGGCACTCGGCCTGGCTGACTGGTTTCCTACAGAGATCCCCAGGGAAGCAATTTCCGATCAAGATGCTGCTGCAGGGTCCCTTGGGTGCTTGCAGGGGTCTGTCTGGTGTGGGGGTCCCTGCAGGGGAAGGGGGTGTGCTTGTGCACCACTGTTTGGGGACAGGGGAAGGGCCAGGGAGGCTGCAAAAGGCTGCAGGACAGTCCCTGTCCAGAGAACGAACAACTGTCCAAGAGAACCAGGCCCACACTTGGTAAAACAGAGATGGGCTTGCTGGTCAAATACCGACAGGTTAAAAGCTCGTTAAGCCAAGGCCCACGCGGCTCTGTAACGCGGAGGCAGGTAAATCCAAAAGAACTGCACGTTTCTGAGGTGAACAGCTATTTCCTCAACTTTTTGAAAGGACTCATTTAAAATCCATTCATTTATAAGCTTGGACTGAAACCTGTCCATCAGAAAGTCAAATCATCCATTTTTTTAAGTAACCCGTCTCTATTAGAAACGATACATTCAGAGGCCAGAAAATTATTTTTTTCCCATAATGGCAGCATATGAATACATTTTTGACATGCCGATGAAAAGAGTCAAAATCCCACTCGCTACAAGGGCACCATCGAGGCCTCTGCACTGCTCTGTTAAATCACCGACTCAATTCTAGCATCAAACTAGACTGCCATGCCTGCAATTTCTTTAAATAGCTATGGCAGTATTTCAAGGCCTGTTATTTTCAACATAATGAGAGGAAATAGTACCTGGCGGGGAAGAAAACGAAACCCAATTATTAGCAGAAAGAACACAATTGGAAAATTTTACAATTCGAAGCAATTATGTTTAATACCTCAACTTCAGGGTTAAATCCTCGGAATGACATTCTTCCATAGAGAAGATCTTCGCATAATGAAAAACTCTGCTCTTCAATGATGAAACTCCTAAATGGGAAAAATAAACCTGTATTAAGAGCCAAGTCTATTTGTAACAAAAACAGCAAACCAAAGACAAGATCCCAAAGGAAAAGCAGATGCGGTGATTCCCATGCAGTCTGATTTCTCACCCAGCGATCGCGTCCAAATACAACATTGGATCTGCACAGATGCCCACAAAAAGGCAGCAGCTCTCTCTCTCCCGCTGCCCACGTTCGGTAGTCTCGGGCCGCTGCCCCCACCCCAGGGAGCTCGATGGCGAGGGGCAGGCGAAGGAAGGAAACGAGGGCCAGGCTGGTTGGTGTCAGGTGCAGTTTATTCCATCTCAATCTCCGTTCTCCTCTGATTCTCCTCCTGCTTCTTCCTTCCTCCCCCATGCTACTTCATTCTCCTTCTCAATCCCCCTTCATTATTCTTCTGGCTCTGGAATCTGGATCCCACAACCCACTCTTAGATAAATCTCAGAGCCATCAGGGGTTGGGGCTTACACATAGGTGTGGGCACAATCAATAAGTGGAAAGTTCTTTCCCTCAGGGGGCGCTTCTTCTAGGACAATACCCTCTCAGCAGGATGACCCAACCAAGGGCAGAATCCCAAGGATTTGTTTCTCCTCTCCTTGTCCAACAAACATAAGCATTCATAATATTAATTATTTTGTATGAACACAGTAAGAGATACATTAAACTTAAAGAATCGCTTTCCTGGGGTCATCTGGATCTCAGACTACAGTGCTCATGCCAGATTAGTCTTTCCTATCCCTAGCAGGGTCCTAGTTTTGTCGTTACTTTTGGATTATGACAGCATTTGCCCATGATCAAGCTCTTAACTGTAAGTTAAGAATCATGGCGCTTTGGCCTGGCCCATTTCCATGCCAGGGTAGCTCACAGCTTGCCCTGGGTCCATTCAGTCCCTTGTTGGGGCCCTGCTTTTGGGGTGCTGGGAACTAAGGGCAACTGAGGCTTAGGTCAAGAAAGCAGATGCCCGGGAGTGAATAATATTCAAAGCCAAGTAAATCCTAAGTTACAAAGCATAATATTAACTGTCTTCCTGTATCTATACAAAAAGGACACTGCTTTAAACTATTCAAAAGATATAAGGAGAGGAGAAAGGCAATATTAGCTCATGATACAAGTTCAGTGTCCTAGAAGGATCTGACCTTACAAATTAACAGAGTCAGATTAGGGGGAAAAGCTGATTAACTGGTTGGGGAAGAGAGCAGAGAGAAGTGGTTACAGACAAACAAAGGAATGGGAGTGACTCGGGAGCACTGTGATGGGCGTGACCTGATAAACCTAAGCTCCTTGTGGCAAGGGAGAAAGGACAAATCAATTGTTATCCTACACCCACATACTGAAGTATTTATGATAAACCCGAGTATTCTGGACCTCAAAGCAACATTCCTTGGTGTTTATATTATTCAGCAACTTCTTACTAAATGCCTAGAACTCTGGAGCCCTGGGCAGCTTTAAGAAAGTGATGGCACAGCAGGTAGGGTGCTTGCTTTGCACAAGGTCAACCCGGGTTTGACCCCTGGAACCACATAAGGTCCCTCAAGCCCTGCCCGGAGTAAGTCCTGAGCACAACTGGTATGGCCCAGCCCTCCCCACTAAAATAAATAAAATTTAAAAAAGGTTTCCTCAGAGCCTAGTGATCAACAACAAAGACAGCTTCAGGTAAGAGGTCAGGTACCTCAGAGACTCACTGGAAATGCGGGAGAACTGGAAAGCGGGCAGGAAGGTGGTTCAGCCCAAACTAAAATCGTGCTCTAGGAATTCCTGTCCCAGGAAAAGCGATGCCGTGGCCAACAGGCACAGTGGCCCAAGCCTGCTGGAGGGACCCCCGAGTCTGGAGTGATGACCAGATGCGGTGCTGGCGACCTGACCCCCGGCGTCATCCGCAAGTTTTAATTTCTGACCAAGTAAACAGTAACACGCTATACACCATACCAAGAAAAGCTCTGGAAAACTTTCAATAGCTTCTCTGGACGGCCTCTCCACGGGGGTGGGAGGGAGAGGGAGCGCGCCTGGATTCAGGCTTGGCTCCTGAATTTTTGGTTCCGTCTCTTCCCTAAACCAAGACTCCCTTTCTCACAGATCTGTGGTACTCCCGGGGTGGTGGCACGCGTGGGGATTCAACTCAAGCTTTGCAAGCTCCGAGACTCATGCTCTGCCTGAGTTCTCCATTAACTGCCCAATCTTATTTGCTTTTATGGGCCATAGCGACCCGTGCTCAGGGGACCATCTGGGGGTCTCTGGGCCCTAAACTCCCAATCCTGTTCACTGCAGACAGCAGCAGATAAAAAAAAAAAAAAGAACCCCTGGGGGCCGGAGCGCTAATACAGCAGGGAGGGCATTTGTTTTGCATGCTGCCAACCCAGATTCGATCCGGCATCCCATATGGTCCCCCGAACACCTCCAGAAGTAAATCCTGAGGGCAGAGCCAGAAGTAACCTCTGAGCATCACTGGTAATCAAAAGCCCTCACCAATATCCCAAGAGAACCCTGTGTGCAGGAAAAGGACCACACAAGCAGAGACGGAGCCAGAAGGATGCAAGCATCAGAGTGGGCCCCGCGGCTCCCACAGGGCTTACCCATGGGTTCCCATCGACAAAGAAACCTGCCCATTCTCATAAAAGGAAGCAGAGGTGTTCTGTGATCTAGAGTCAGATTTCAAGGACAGGGAGAAGTACCGAGTTAGCAAACACACGAAGCAATTCAAAGCCGAAATGCAGACACGGCTGCACTTTAATGCCTCCACTTTCAATAATGAGCATCTGTAATTTCAGCCCTAACACACACCGAGAAAATTATGCTTCCTCCGTCTCGCAGACGACAAAGTGGGGCGTGGAGGCACAGAGCGGGGCTGGCTAGGGGGGCACCATGTTCCAGGAGGGATGTCTCCCGGGACGGCTCAGTTTCCGAGCGCCTGGCCAACCAGGCGCTGATGGCCCTTTTGATCCAGTCTGGCTTCAAGGGTATCTGCAGAGCTCACAGCTCGGCTGTCCCTGGGCACAGCGCACACCCACTTCCTGTCCAGCTTCACAAAGATACTGTGTCCCCCGGAGCGGGGCAAGTCTGCTCGGAAGACGGAGGTTCAGGTTTCCTAAGCTGGGGACTTGGCTGGACCCAACACACACAGGGCGCCAGGGCTGAGTGGGTCTTGGGTGTCATTCCCCTGCGGGTGGGGCCGGGTTGAAGAGGGCAAGGGCGCAAACGAGGCTACAGCTGCTGAGCCTGACCCGGGAGCCTGGTGAGCCTCCAACCTCACCCCAGGATGCACACGCGGAGAGACTGACGGTCTGTGATACACAAGCAGGCGCAGCTGAACCGAGCTCTGCCAGGAAGCCGCGGCTGCACCTCTCACATCTCACAGGACAGACCGCACATCTGCACCCCACTCCCCCGTCCACACGACACACACAGAACCCGCCTCTGGACGGCGAAGGTCCCGCTGGGAAAAGTAGCAGCTGCTACTTCATGCTGCGGGTGGCAACACCCAGGTGAGGGACACACTCCCCGGAGAGTGGTCACACTGGAAAACCCGGAAGGACCCCCAAATAAGTTGGAAGGAAGTGGAGGAATCCGGTAATACCCAGGTACACAGGAACGGACACCCTTGCCTGCACGGTCGCCTGCCACCGCGCAATGACTTTACATACGTTTTCCCATTTGCTTCTCACGCTGAATGTGACAAGCACTAAATCATATCCAATATCCAGTGACAAAAGCAATTTGCCCAAGGTCACGTGGAAGCAAGTGGCCGAAGTGAACACCAGCCCCAGGCCTGTCTCCTGAGCTCAAGAGCCTCATTCGCCTACACACTGCCCGCTTCCCTCGTTCCATCCCGCTAGGACGTCACTCTGGCCCGCAGCTCCTGTCTCAGGGAATTCAGAAAGGGCACCTCCACCCTCTGGGCAGCGGAGGCTCTAGGCAAGATCCTCTCCAAAGCCTCCTCCTTCCCCTTCTGGCCTACAGGGGAAATGATTTCCCTCACAGACGCTCAGAGAGGCTGCACTGTCCCCTGGTGGCTTCCCGAGGTCCTAGCCACCCCTCGCCAGCCTGTCAAATCTTAATCCATACACAGGATGCTGACCTCAGAGTAATGCCGAGAGGCTCTAACTCACTCCCCTCCCCCACCCCAATACAATGTACAATAATGGTTTTTGAGCCACACCTGGTGATGCCTGGGGGTTACCCCGACTCTGCACTCAAGAATCACCCAGGGCGATGCTGATATTAAATCTTAATCCTCAAAGATGTCTTTGGGAGGTGCTTAAATCACAAGGGTGGGACCTGAGGAATAGCATTAGAGCCTTAAAAAAAGGCTTGTCAGGTAAGGATATGGCTTGGACACTTCCAAAGAACCAGAAAGGGGCGACCCTCAAAACCGGTGTCTCGGTCTTAAGATTTCCCAGACTTTGTGACGCAAGAAATACATTTCTACTGCTCACAGCGACCAGCAGACCACCAATCTGCTCCAGGGACAGGAACTGAAGGACATTTAGTCCAAGAATAATATGCTGGATTACGGGCAGGGGCGTCAAATCCTGCACACAAGATGCCTTTGTCTGGTTGTTCAATGAAAGTAACAAAACATGCGGAATCCTTTGTGCAAGTTTAGTCGAGGCAGAAGATTAAAGCGCCTTTCCAGCCCAGGCTCCTTCCTATAACCCACTTGCTTCCAAAGGCATCACCATCTCTCTCCTCACATCTTGTTTTCTCTAAGCAGAACAGAAAAGCCAGAACAGAAGCCAGTAAGGCCAGGCGCTTTCCATTAATTTTTCCCAGGGCGTGGGGAGGACGCTGTCTGATTTCAGAGAGGAATATGTAACTTTCCAGAAAAGACTCAGAAAGGCCTGCTAAACGGAGTATCGAACATGACAGTTAAAAAGAAAAATCTGGAAGGCAGAGAAAGGACAAACACAAGTGCCTGAAGGAACCCACAGCATCTTCCGTCTGCCGACTGGTTAGGGCCAACAAAAATACATTCCCACAGAGCTCACTAAGAAAAGCATCAAGGAGACATGGTAAAGTGCCTTCAGAAAATCTTAAGATATAACTGACGCACTATAAAAACCAGCTCCCGGAAGAGAACAGTGCAGTCTCCTGCCCCCGCGCCTGGCTGTCCTCGCCGGGGCCCCTTGGAGGGGAGTGGGTTGAGCTTTCCTCCCCGCCCCGACCAGGGCTCCGGCAGCTGAAGACCTCCAGGACCAGCCACCACCATGCTGAGATCACTTTCCGCACACCTGAAGGTACCGGCAGAGGAACAAAGGCAAGCGGGTCCCGGGGCTGAGATCTCCAAGCCTATTCGGATCGGGGCTAAGCATCTTCCACCCAGATCCTCCGAATTCCAGCAGGCGGGGGTCACACCCAACAACTGGCCCCGTGGCGCAGTTGTAATCCTGTGTAATCCCATCAACGTGTAATCTATAAAAACCAGCTCCCGGAACCGCCGCGACATCTTATTATGACATCTTATTATCTCATTCCTACTTTGGACGAACTGGCAGGCTACCGAATGTAAACTGCCCACACAGCAGAGTCTGGCAAACTCACTGTGGCGTACCCAATATGCCAAATACCAGTAACAATGATGGGTCTCATTCTCCTAAAGAGCCTTGAATATAGCACTTTCTTAAAAATCTCAGGGCTGGGATGAAGGAGACGTTATTGGGGCCTGCTCAAGGCAATCGACGAATAACAGGACGGTCGTGATTCGTGAACTGATGCATAGCTCGGAGTCACCCAATTGCCCCATCAAGTATCAGTCAAACTTCGAGGTGGGGAAACACATTCTTTCCTGCAATTCCAGCATCAGTTGCGAGGAGCTGGGGACTCAGTCAATGTCCCCCTTGGTCCGCCTCAGCCACAGTGCATGGGACCACAGCAGCCAGCCCTTATGTTTGCTGCAAGGATTAAATCAAGAGATGTCGGGTCAGGGCTGGAGCGGGTAGGGCTTGCACGCGGCCAACCTGGCAATGATCCCCGGCATCCCATATGGTCCCCCCAGCACCGCCGGGAGTGATTCGTGAGTGTACAGCCAGGAGTAACCCCCAAGCATCACTGGGTGTGACCAAAAAAGAAAAAAAAAATCAAGAGATGTCAAGTTCAGGTCCTGCACACGCTGCAGACTGAGTAAGCTGAATGACTGGCCTCCGAAGCAAGCAGTATTTTCAGTGAAGATAGAAATTAAGACTTCAGAAATGAACAGAATAGAAGGCACACTGCAGATTTTCATAGAAGGATCCTAGTTGCTGCCAGAGATGGACTAGAGTCCTTTACTCGACATTAAAAAACCAACACAAAACAAGTGTTATAAATGCTGGGGAGGGCAAGTTTAAAAAAAAAAATCCTCCAAATAGATCATGATCACATATATGGGATGAATAATTTTAGAATACTAACTGCTAGGCTAACACAGGAAACGGAACTGGTCACTATTTCAATGAGCGACATTTACAGGATCGTGCTCCCAGTCCCCCGGGCACTACACATAATCTCCAAAACCTACTCTTTCTCTTTAAGCTCTGGCAAGTCCAGGTACCAGTGCTCTTCACTGATTATTTTCTTTTCTTCTTCTTCTAGTTGTTTCTTGGTTTCTGAGTCCAATCCCCTTTGCATGAACTGTCAAAACAAAACAAAGACAGTGTCAGTAACTATTTTTCTCACTGAGTTGAAAAAGGTGAATCTTACTTTGCCATGTGCTCTCCCTTGCAAACAGTAAACTCGACTCATATTCGAGGGGGACTAGGTGACAGGTTGTTTAGCTCTGCCCTGGACTGGATAAGGAGTGGATGGCACAAGTGGTTCTATACTGCCCTCCGGGGATTCGACCGGGGTGTGTGTGTGTGTGCTGGAATGAAGAGTACATCAGGTCTCTCTGTACAACTTTTACAACTTCCTCTGTCAATAATTTAGTTTAAACAAAAGCACAAGAAGTGTCAGTTAAACTAAAGTGTTCCTTAGTCTTTATCCCTTTAACATCATCACAGGAAAACGCCAGTTTCTGAAACACACATCCTGTAGCCGCAGCTCCTCCAGCCCCTGCTACTCAGCACCTGTCTCTATTTCCTGTCCTGCAGAGTCCTGACCCCTGACGGCTCGGAGCAGGCATTCCTTACTTGGGCACGCCTTTCCGAACTATTATGTCACCTGACTCCGGCCAGATCTGTCCCATGGAAAAAAATCTCTCTCTCACTTCAACGAGAGCATTAAAAAACTTGGTTTGCTGTTCATTATGCTTCTTCCATTTTAGTTTCCTGGAAGCTGAAATCCTTTTTTGGTTTTGGACTGCATCCGACGGTGTTCAGGCTTACTTTGCTCATACCCAGCTCAGGGGGCGGCACGCAGAGTTGTCACAAAAACTGGGGAGTTGTGTGCAGGGCAAGCACCTTACCTATCCTAGCTCTGCAGCCTGGGTGAAATTCGGAATAGCCAGCCATGTGCCTTTGTCATCTTGTGTTACTGGCACTCAGGCTGCACCGGGAATCATTATTCAATGCCGAGTCTCCAGGAATGAGACCGGACTTATTTTCCCAGCTTCTTTTCTTTGCATGCTTCTCTTTATTTTTTTCTTTTATTTATTTATTTTTTTTGGTCACACCTGTGGGTTACTCATGCACTCAGGAATTACTCCTGGCGGTGCTCGGGGGACCATATGGGATGCTGGGAATCGAACCCGGGTCTGCTGCGTGCAAGGCAAACACCCTACCCGCTGTGCTATCGCTCCAGCCCCCCTGCAGGCTGCTCTTTAAATCCAAATACCTCATTTCATCGCTCACGTTCGCAACCCCGAAGCAGGCAAGATTTCCCTAACACTTAATAAGGTGAAAGTGGACCCTAACACTTAATAAGGTGAAAAAGCAGTGATTTAACTCAGAACCAGGCGTCTCAAGCAGGCATCATCAATCATGATTCTCAGGCTGGAAGTCTTGCAGTATAAAGTTCTCTCTGCTCAAGCTCTTATGGCAGCAAAACGGGAGTGACATGGACCAGGAGCGTGAACCTTAATGGAATAAGCGCATCAGGTCCTGCCTTATCAGTGCGAGAGCTAAAATCACAAATAAGTGCTCTCTGCATAGGATCATTCCTTCATATTCCCACCTAAACCTCTGTTCATTAAATCTTCAAAATCTGACGTAGGAAACAAGTAAGTCAGAGACATTTACCCTTTCCTTGCCTCCCTCACCCGCAGTCACAGAGGCTCAGCTCCACCCTGACCCTGCAGGTGCCACGTTCACCCTCCAGGCACCCAAACGCAACCCTTCCCGGAGGGACTCTCGGCCCCTGCAGGAGACGTCTACGGGTTCGCATCTCTCTGTGGCAGGGTTCTGTGATACAGAGTAACGACGAGCAGGGACTGGGGCGACAGCGCAGCGGGGAGGGTGTTTGCCTTGCACGCGGCCGACCGGAGTTCGACCCCCAGCATCCCATAAGGTCCCCCGAGCACTGCCAGGAGTGGTTCCTGAGTGCACGAGCCAGGAGCAACCCCTGAGCATCATCGGATGCGACGCAAAGAAGCAAAACAAATAAAAAAAAAAAAGTAACTACGAGCAGGGGCTGGGGCGATAGCGCAGCGGGGAGGGCATTTGCCTTGCACGCGTCCGACCGGGGTTCGAGTCCCAGCATCCCATAGGGTCCCCTGAGCACCGCCAGGGGTAATTCCTGAGTGCACGAGCCAAGAGTAACCCCTGAGCATCATAGGGTGTGACCCAAAAAAGCAAAATAAATAAATAAAAACCACAGTAACTACGAGCAAGGGCTCTGCAATATGCTCGAGCGGGTCTGTACCAGTCATTCAATCGCTGTTAACTTTGGGTTGCTTTTTGTTGGCTTTGGGTTAGTATTTTTTTTTTTTTTTTGCTCCGGTGGCCGAAGCACAGGGAGTCTGGGCCCACCCCGGGGCCCGCACGTGTCCGCCCCCGTAAACTGCAGGGCGCGTCGCTCGCCGGCTCCATCCGCGCGACCCCCTGGGCTGGTCCCGTCCGGCCAAACGGACCCACTCCCGCCCGCCGCTGGGGGGCCGGGGAGCGCAACGCTGCACGCCCACCTCTGTCCCCGCCTTTCCCGGGGGTCTCGCCGGCGCCCCCCACAGCCGGGGCCCGCGCGGCCCGTCCCGGCCCGGCCCGTGTGGACCCTCCCGGGCTCCGGCCCGCGGGCTGGTCCCCCTCGCAGCCCCCTCCCCGCTCCCGGCGGCCCGAGCACAGCGCCAGGACCCCCGCCCCGACCCCCGCCCGGCCGCCCCCGGCCCGCGCGCCGCTACCTTCATGCGCAGCAGGTTCTTGGACAGCTTGGTCTTGCGCTCGGCCGCCATGGTGCTCCCGCCACGGCGCATGCGCCGACCCCGTGCGGCGGCGGCGCCGCTCTCTGACGTCACGCGCGCGCCGGCGCGGCCCGGCCGGCCCCGCCTCCGTCCTCGCGAGCCGCCTCAGGGGGCGCTCGGCTCCCGCGGCACGTCGGCCCCGGGGCGCCTGCGGAGCCGTCGCCGTCGCCGTCGCCGTCGCCGTCGCCGTCGCCGTCGCCGTCGCCGCGCGGCCGTTCCGAACGCCGAGGCCTCTGAGGCGGCTGTCACGTGCCGCCCCGGCCCGAGCGACCCCGGCCCAGCTTTCTGACCCGAAAAGGGGGGCCCGGAGACCCCGTCCCCCCCCAGGAGAGGCGCCGATTCCCGGCCCGAGCGACCCCTGGCTCAGGTCTCTGACCGGAAAGGGGGACTCGGAGACGCCCCCAGGAGAGACGCCAACGGACCCCGGCCCATGTTCCTGACTGGAAAGGGGCTCGGAGACGCCCCCAGGAGAGACGCCGTCGCCCCCGCCCGACCCCGGCCCGACCCCCGGCCCGTGTTCCTGACCCGAAAAGGGGGGCTCGGAGACCCCCCAGGAGAGGCGCCGATTCCCGGCCCGAGCGACCCCCGACCCAGCTTTCTGACTGGAAGGGTGGGCTCGGAGACGCCCCCGGGAGAGGTGCCGTCGCACCGGCCCGAGCGACCCTGGCCCAGCTTCCTGACCGGAAAAGAGGGGCTCGGAGATGCCCCCAGGAGAGACGCCGTCGCCCTGGCCCGAGTGACCCCTGGCCCAGGTTTCTGACCGGAAAGGCGGGCTCGGAGACGTCCCCAGGAGAGACGCCGACGGACCCCGGCCCAGGTTCCTGACTGGATTGGAGGGCTCAGAGACGCCTCCCAGAAAAGGCGCGGACCCCCGCCCACCCGCGAGAGACAGGAAGTGTGGAGAAGTGTCCTCAGCTGCGCTGCTCTCTGTGGGATGGAGCCCGCATGGCCCGCTGTCAGAGCTGGGGGGTCGCTGAGGAGAGAAGACAGAAACGGGGTCGCTTTCGGGTACCCCCTGAGGCATCACCTCACGTCCCCCGCCAGTGCCGTCGCTGCGACTCGGAAACCCCCGAACTGCCATCTGGACCCTAGAGGAGCCGGGGGAACGATGCTTTTGTTCCCCAAGGGGCTGGGGGGGGGTCCCATAGGGTCAAGCTGGAGTGAGATGGCCGTGCACACATGCACGACTCTCGGCGTCCCCTAGAGTTGGTTCCCAGAGCCCCGTGGGACTGATCCCTGAGTGGTGGCACTCCCCAGGTGCCACCCAGACCTCACCAGAACAGAACAGAATGGAACATTCCCAAAGCTGGGGAGCAACGAGGCCCGGAATGGGCTGGGCACGAAGTCCAGGTGTGTGGCTCGGAGGCAGGCGTCCAGGCGCCAGGTCCTGCCCACCCGCCAACGCCAGGACAGAAGTCTGGAGACACCCAGGCACAGCTGTTGCCTAGAGCTGACATCATGTGGCTGAGGGTCAGAGAAGAAATGTTGCGACAGTGGAGAATAAAGTTGACAAGCCTGTTTACAGTTGTAGCACTGTAGCACTTTCTTCCCCTTGTTCACCGATTTGCTCGAGCAGGCCCAGTAACGTCTCCATTGTGAGGCTTGTGTTTGGCAGGCAAAATACTCTAGGTAACTTGCCAGGCTCTCGGAGCGGAGGAATGGAACCTAGCTTGGCAGGGCAGGCGGCTTGCAAGGCAAACGCCCTACCACTGTGCTATTGCTCCAGCCCATTTACAGTTGTATCCAAAGTAATTACAAAGGAATGATATCAATGAAAGTGGTAAAGGCAATATAACGAAGCTATGAGACATGGACCAAGACAGTAAGAGGGGCCAAAGTGAGAGCATCGTGGGTAAGGCCTTGCACATGGCTCACCCAGGTTTGATCACCGCACGTACAGTCATCTGGACACCACTGAGGACAGAGCCAGGCATAAGCCCTGAGAACTCATTGGTGTGGCACGAAAGCAAAACACATTAAGAAATAAAGACATCCTCTGTGGATGGGGAATATTGATATAATTAAAATATCCATCTACCAAAAGCAATATAATGTAATTTAAATAAAATTCCAAACATCTTAAAGGATGTATAATGAAAATAATAAAAGAACTATAAAAGACCTTAAATAGGGCAGTTATAAGGAAGAAAAATAAAAACGTTATTTCTTCATGTTACCCAATTTCAGATGATGCTGCAAACAGATTTTTTTTTTCTTTTTGGGTCACACCAGCAACGCACAAGGATTACTCCTGGCTTTGTACTCAGGAATTACTCCTGGCAGTGCAAAGGGGACCATATGGGATGCTGGGAATTGAATCCAGGTCGGCCATGTGCAAGGCCTTACCCACTGTATTATCACTCCAGCCCAAATAATAGATTTAAAACAGAACAAAACCCCTGACCATCGCCAGGTCTGACCCCAAAATAATAGGAATGAAAGCTATGGTTTTGGAATAAAAAATAGGCACAAGGATCATCAGTAGAATATAGTTGAAAGCACAATTAAATCCACACATTTATTCATATTTTGGCAAAGAATCCAAGAGCATGCAGCAGAGAAATGAGAGTCTCTTCAACAAATAGTGTTGGGAAAAGTGTTCAGTGGCACGCAAAAGAGTGAAACTGCCTAGCCCTATATATAAAAATAAGTTCAAATTAGATTAAAGACAATTTGAATGTAAGACTGCAAATTGTAAGCTCATAGAAGATAACATAGATGAAAAGTTCCATAATATCAGTGTCAGAAATCTCTGGAGCCTTCAAGAGCAAGGGAAATGAAAGTAATGAGAAACTAGTGGGACTACATTAAAAAAATCAGAAAAATTTTGCATAGCCAAAGAAAATGCAAATAGAATGAAATGACAGTGCATTGAATGGGAGAAAATATTTTCACAGCATACATTCAATAAGAGATTAATGCCCAAGGTATGATTTAGTTAATTTATATGTCTCAACAACAAAAACAACCCCGTCAAAAAATAAGCAGAAAATTTGAATAGATACTTCTCCAAAGAGAGCATACAGATGGCCAATAGGCTTATGAAAAGATTCTCATTATCACACATTATCAGGGAATTGCAGATTTAAACCACAATGAAATAACCTCTTTATCTTTGGGAGTGATTTACATCAAAAGGAGCACAAATATTGGAGAGGATGTGGAGAGGAGGGAACCTTCCTGCATTGTTGTTGGGAATGAAAAGCGGTGCAGTCATCTGGAAAATGGTGCGGTGCTTCTTCAAGAAGCTAAAGATAGGGCTGGAGCAGTAGCACAGCGGGTAGGGCGTTTGCCTTGCACGCCGCCAAGCCGGGTTCGATTCCCAGCATCCCATATGGTCCTCTGAGCACCGCAAGGGTAATTCCTGAGTGCAGAACCAGGAGTAACCCCTGTACATCACCAGGTATGACCCAAAAAGAAAAAAAAAAGAAGCTAAAGATAGAGCTACCATATGACCCAACAATCCCAGTTCTATTAATCCCAGTGTTTAATGCTGCATTTTTTTAAACAATAGCAAAAAGATACCCTCAATCTGAGTGCCTGCAGATGGATAACTGGATACAGATGTGGTACATTTATACAATGTAGTACTTACTATTCAGCTATAAACAATTAAATTTTGTCATTCACAGAAAAATGGAAAGAGCTCTAAGGGATTATGCAACAAAAAAGAAGGGACAAAAACAAGTATCTGATGATTTCACCTTTGTGTACATTATAAGGATATAAAATCAACAAGCAGACTAATAAACTGGACATTGACAACATGTCAATGTTTCTTGTGGGGATGGGAGTCAAGGTGTGGGAAGTGTAAAAACATTGGTAGATTTTATTTGTAAAATATTAATGAGACAAACTGCACAACAGTGTGTGTTTTAAAATTAAAGTAAAATGAAGGAAGGTAAAGCAAGATAGGAAGTTTCACTCAAGTCATTCAAATATTATATTACTCCTAATGTTTTTACTTTAATTAATTTCATCACCTTTAAGATAAAATCTAGGCTGACAGTTCAGACTTTTTCCATCTGCCTTTGAGGCTTATTTCCTAGCTTTTCAGTCTTGTCTTATATGTCTCAATTTAATCTCCTCTAGCCAAACTGCACTATTCACTATCCAAACATTCCAGATTTACTCTCGATGTAAATATTCATACTGCCTTCTATTTCTGGAATGATGCCTGGAATAATGTTTTTGTTTCTTCCCACTTCAAATTGTGCCTGTCTCCCAGAATTCAGTTTAAATTTCATCTTCCTGTTACATAAAATGAAAATGATGATTTTCTCCTCCCTCCCCAGTGCTAATAGGGCTAGCTTATAATTGTTTAAAAATAATACTCATTACTGTTATCTAACACAACTTCAGGTGCAGAAGGGCAAATGTGCATTTAAAGTTACCTGCATCTTTCACAACTTCAGTAGTCATTAATATACTCAAGAAATACTTATGAATAAATGAAAAACTGCTCTTTAAAATGAGTGAGACAGCATCTTTAAAGTTATACGGTTCCTTTAATAACTTATAAGCCTCGGAATACCCTACCAATTCTATCTAGTTGAGTTGACATTTAATTTTTTTTCCATTTTATGAAAGAAAAAAAATAAATGAAAGGCCAAGGATGTGGTAATGAAACCAGTTATTTTCCTGTACTGATTCTATTCAAAATGTTGTGTTCAGTTAAAAGGGATATATCTTTGGACTTTCTGAGGAAGTTTCTAAAGAAGCCAGTTGCTATGGGGACTATGAAGAGAAAAAAATTATGACCAACTTATGCAAATGAAGCCACGTCTAAACCTGGAAGACATCTGTGAGGGTTAGCGGAGGTTTTCAGAAAGAGAAAAGGAGTCGCTATGAAGTGTTAGGAGAACGTACTATGAGAGTTTATGCTTGGGAGTCAAATCACAATTAAAATGGAATTGTATATTTACTACTAATAAATAGGACCAAAAGGATTATCTTAAATCACAGGGGTGGAGAGCAAATAGTCTTCTATTTAACAATGGCAAGTTTTTATTCATAGAAAAGCAGACA